AGGGACTGGGGGGTGGCTGGGGAGGGGCGGCTCCGGTGGAGGCGAGGCTGCTGCGGCCACACGGGGGGAGCCAGGAGAGGCCTGCCGGGCACGGTGGCGGGGAGACGGGTCTCTTGCACCCGGGCCATCCTCCCCAGCCCTCCCTGAGCTCCAGCCCGTCCCTGTGGCTTGCTGTCCCCCTGCCCCACCAACCCGGACCCTTGCTCTGCTTTACCACAGTCTCTCCCTCTTTTGTTTTTTTTTTAAAGATATTTATTTATTTGAGAGAGAGAATGAGAGAGAGAGAGCACATGAGAGGGGGGAGGGTCAGAGGGAGAAGCAGGCTCCCTGCTGAGCCGGGACCCTGATGTGGGACTCGATCCCGGGACTCCAGGATCATGACCTGAGCCGGAGGCAGTCGCTTAACCAACTGAGCCACCCAGGCGCCCCAGCCTCTCCCTCCTGGAAGGCACGTCCCTCACCTTCCATGGAGATGCTTACACTGACTTCCGTGCCCACCGTAAGCAAAGGCCACCCGGGACCCGGGTGGAGCAGTGCAGGCTCCTCATGGGCCTTTCTTGGGGCAGGAGGCCTGCTGACGCTGACCCCCTGACACTCCCTGTCTGGCTGCCGGGGCCTTCCTGGGTCCTCCCTCCCGGGTCCTCCTTCCCGCTCTTTGCTGCCAGCCCTTGACTTTTGATACCCTTCCGGTTTGGGTTTTCTGCTCTCAAGATGCTCCGAGCCAGCCACCCCACTTCCACTTCAGCCCTCCCTCCAACCACCAGAAGCTGCACATGTCCCCGAGCTCCAGGTCTCTAGAGGCCACCTCCCTGTAAACGGAGGGACCCGCATGCACAGCTGCCCGGGGGCCTGGCCTCCCCACCTCCAGCCCCTGGGCCTCTGCTTTTCCCGTCCTGGTCCCATCTTGGCGAACGGCTCTGCCCCCGCCCCCTGCCAAGAGCACCTGAGCTCTCGCAGCCAGTTCTGCCCTGAGCTCTGTGCACCTGCCCCCCGACCCCAGTGCAGGGGCTTGTGTGTCCTTGGGGTCCCTCTCCAGGCCCTGGCCTGCTGCCTCCATCCAGCCTCTCACAGTGACCCTGGTAGCTTCTTGCAGGTAGCTGTCCCCCATTTTGCTTATGAGACACAGGGTGGGTGGGTTTAGAGCTCACCCAAGGCCACTCAGGTGGGGAATGGGACCAGTTTGAACACCTTGGGTTTGAGGTTTCTTCAGGACACCCAGGCAGACATGCAGACTACGTCATGCTAAGAGAGGACCAGGTGATGGAGACGAGGTCACAGAGGTCGGTGACAACCGTACGGAGACCGAGGCTGAGGCTGGGAAAGCCCCTGGGGCCCCCGGGGCAGACTGCACCATTGGGGGCGGGCTGTGTGGGAGCAAAGCCAGGACTGAGGGGCAAGAGCAAGGGGGAAACTGAGTCCCAGAGGAGCGGTGAGTGCAGCCTGGAGACCCGCGGACTCGGCTTCCGGGAAGGAAGGGCTGTGTCCGGTGGGGAGGCTTCGCAGGAGGGGACGGGGCAAGGGGGGGGAGGGGCAGCTCCCAGGCCGCGAGGCCGAGGGGACCACCTCTCTGCTTTACAGCGACAGCGCTTCGCGCGTGTGTATTCCTGGGGGGCCCGCCTGGTCTGGAAGGAGAGGTTGAGGGAAACCCAAGAACTCAAGGGTGGGAGGCGGGCTACCCTCTCTACCCTCGGAAGACAGCAATGTGCACCAGACAGCCTTCGGGAACCAGAGGCAAGTCTGATAGTTGTGGGGAGTCAGGGAAGGCCGGGCGGGGTGGGGCACGACCCTTGGCCAGTACTGTCTTCCTGCCCCGAGGAAGGACAAAGGCAGCCCTGCCCTCCCCGGAGCGGAGGTGCTGTCCTTTGGGCACCTGCAGGAATCGGGCCGGCGCCCCGTCCCATCCCAGGCTAGCTGTTGGCACGGGACAATGTCTGACTGTGTCGCAACCACGGCCGCCCCGCCGGACCCATAAGTCTCCAAGGGACCGCTTATAAATCGCGTCCCTCTATCTCCGTATTTCGGCCCCTCAGCACCATGGTGGTGGGGTGTCTGCGGTCACGGCCGTGTCCCTACCCTGTCCCTGGCACTGGCCGACCGAGAACCAGGAGAGCAGAGCGGGAGGGGGCATCCCACCCCACACCCCTGAGCCGGAATCCTGGGTGCAGACCACATGGGAGCCGCCAGCCGCAGCAGTGTCCACCATGAGGTGGGCTGTGGGAGGCACGGATGTCAGCGGCCCCTCACACAGGTTTACAGGGACCCCTCCACCCTGACATACCTGCGGCTGGAGACCCCTGCAGGCCCAGGAGAAGGCAGAGGAGGGCCAGCTCACCCGCCCGGGAAACCATGGTGAGACTCGTGGCGTCACACGGTCTGTTGACATTCCGAGGTGGGGGTGGCGGGCAAAGTCCTGGCCTCCACGCAGGGGAGAGGGGTGGGGGAGGGAGGACTCGCCTCCCAAACCCGGGGGGAGGGGCGGCGTGAAATCCCTGCCGGGAAGCCCCCAGTCCCTCCAGCACAGCTGTGTCTGCGGAGTGGGGGCTCCTGCGAGGAGACCGCGGTGTTGGGACCTGTATCAGCTGCGCGCACTTCAAGTGCTGTTGGGAACCCCGAGGCCCCCGGGTCTTAGCGCGGCAGCTGGACTCGGCATGCACTTGGGTGGAAAGCCGTGCCATGGTAGTAACTCCAGGGAGAGAGAGGATCTGGGGTGTGGACTTGAGTACCCTCAAGGGGGCTGCCGCGGACACCTAGCCCGGGGGCCTGGCTTCCCGGGTGAGCCGGAGAGCCTCGTGGGGATGACCAGGAGGAGGGGCACCTGCCGTCCCGGGCCCAGGCCGCCAGCTGGGGTGACCCTCCGTCCAGGGTTGGCAGTCGTGGAGGGCCTTCTCAGGATGCCAGGCTTCCTGTCCCGACCAGGACCGTCCTGGGCCCCCAGCGCCATCGGTTACCCCAACCAGACAGACATGGGCATCCAGCCTCCAGGGCGCGTGGGCGCGACCCTCTGCAAAACAGCGGAGGCCGGACGCTCTGCTCGACTCTGGTGTGGGAGCCACACGGCCCAGCTCCTTTCTGCAGAGTTCCAGCTCGACCTCCAAGTGGAAGCATTAGTCCCTAGGGGAGGACGGGTTTTGTTGATCGCTTCTGGAATTTCTCGTTGTTACTTTCAGTAGTTGCTTGGGAAATTGTTCTTGGTCAGCGAGGGACGTGGCCCTTTCTGCAGGCACCGGAGCAGGGCGTTCTGGGGATTCCCCAGACGCCACGGCCGTAGCAGCCACTCTCGAATCAGACAGACCACTGGGCATCGGGCCCCATTTCCTTCCAGCGTGGCAAGAGCTGCTTCATTCCTGAGCCTCGTTCCTGAATCGGGCTGATGTCTCCTCTGAGACGTGGAGGTGCTGCGGGTCCCGTGCTGGTCCATGAGCAGCACCTGTGAGCCGGGCCCTCAGAGGCCGCCACGGAGCGCCCCAGGCGTGCTCCCTCCCTCCCGCCCTCCCTCGGGCGCAGGAGCGGCCTCGTCCTAGCCTGAGCTCGGGCCGTCCCGGACTCCTGGGGGCCCCTCCGCTGGGGCCACTGGGACTACAGCACCAGGAAGCTATCCTCTGCCAGCTCTGGAGGCCACGGGTGGTCCTGGAGCCACGTGTCTGTGGCAGGGCCTTGCTCTCTCGGGAGGCTCGAGGCGGAGACCTGCCTGTCCCTTCCAGCTGGCCCCTGCGTCTGCACCTTGAAGTTCCATGGGCGGCAGGCGGCTCCCTGTTCGGGGGTGCCCGCAGACACCACACTCCCATCCCGGCCCCGGCCGGCACATGGCCTCGCCACTGGGTGTCCGTGCCCGTCTCCTTACAGAGACACCGTCCGTCCTTGGGACGGGCTCCTAGTCAGGCTCCCTCATCTAACCAGCTACTGCAGCAAGGGTGCTGCTGCCGAGTGAGGCTGCGTTCCGGGCTCCCGGGCAGAGTGCAAACATAGGGAAGGCTCTCAGCCCATGTCCGTGCTCCTCTTGAGTGGGACTGGGGCTGAGGCTGTTTTCAGAGCAGCAGCGTCTGGTTGCAGACTTGGGGCGACTGGCCAGGAGGTGCAGGAAAGGGATGCTCCTTCTCTGAACACCCAAAGCTGCGGGCAACAGGATTTCGTGGGCAGCACCCGCCAGGCAGCAGAGGTCTGTGTGGGTTTGGGACGTGCGCTGGACGGAGCCCTCGAGTCCAGGGGGGGCGTGCGTCCTCTGGGGAGGTGGGGACAGCATAGGCTAGTGCGGGATGTGGCCTTCTGTCCGTAAAGGATGGCCAAGCGCCGGCACGGAGCAGTCCTACCCCAGGCTCCGCGTTGGTGAGTGGAGGTGGAGTGGGGCAGCCCCGGGGCACGCTGGCATCAGAGGGCTGGGCTCAGGGAGCAGGAGCCCCCAGCCCGGACCCTTCACCACGGCCACACAGTCCACTGAGCGAGGCAGGCCCCAACAACAGTGCAGGGTTGGGTCTGAGCCTGGGGCCTAGGTCGCGGGTCCGTGGAGGGGCTCCCGGGAGGTCAGTGTTTGCTACATCTCTGGTCTGGTCTTTACTTCCAGCCCTTGTGCGATTTGGTTGTGTGGTGTCTTTTAGCAAATACCTGTTGCATCCGGTTTGATCCCCTCCCGACGGGTCGGCTTGGCAAGATTCCGGGGTGTGGGTGAGCGCAGCTCCGAGCGGCCTCCGTGACTCCTTGCTTCCGTGGGTCACACCTCCCTCCCCACCACCGTCCCTTCTGCCCCCGGACCCTCCTGGCTCAGAAGTGACCACTTGGACTCTTGTTCCAACATGGCGATTTCACCGTTTCTTTTGTTACCTTTACACTGTGGACACAATATGCATGTTATTCTATTTCCACCATTTTCTGACAAAATGAAGCATATGGGACATCGTCTGGGTCAAGCTCACCACCTGCCTCATTTCTCATGGGAGCTCGAGGTGCTGTGCAGATGTACGTGAGCACGATAAACAACGCCGCACGTGAGGGATTCTGTGCAGACAGCGAGAGGGGCTGATATTTATTCAAACTCCATCCATACAATAAAGAACTCTGATTTTTAAATTTCATTACATCAGCAGGAAAAAAAAAAAAAAAAAAGACCTGAAACGAAACAAGAAGCAGTGACGGGACAGGAGGTTTTAAAGTGCCTTAATGAAGATGGGCCCCCAGTGGTGGTGACACGGCCGAGGCGGCCGGGGTGGACTCTGGACGAGCAGCGCGTGGAGTAACCTGCAGAAGCGTCACGTTCCCACAACCAGACACCGAGGAAAGCTGTTGGGACGCACTGCAGAGGTGGGCCGGAGGGGGCCTTGCAGGCGGCGGGCAGGCGCAGCGGGCACGGCAGGCGCGGGGCTCAGGGAGGGCTGTGAAGTGACAGTTTCCAGCATCGCGGGGGCCGTGGTGCATCCCTGACACGGGACACCTATGTACACACACCCACATATGCACACGTATAAAAATATCTGCCCCCACCAGATACAGACAGTGTTTCCGAAGAACAGAATTTGTTTCTGAACACAAAAAGGTAAAACAAGAGTTTTCTTTCTGGTTCTGCCTCGGTTTCAGTAATGAACTCCTTGCGTTTCCGAGCTCGGGGGATTTACCGAGCGCGGGAGGCGGCGGTGGGGGCCTCCGGAGGCTGGCGCTTTCACCGAGCCCGTGTGGGTACTGCTCGCTCAAAGGGCACCCTACAAAAACCGCATCTTTACTTATTCTTTAAAAACAATAAAAAATCCTAATTCAGTGAAGCTAGTTAAAAAAATCAAGTTCCATTTTTTTGTAGAAAAGAAGCTAAATATCTTAAATTATAGTTTAAATATTCTTTTGAAAATTAACCTGCACAGATAAGGGACTCTCCTTGGTTTCCACTGCCTCTGTTTGTAGAAATGCTGCTGGATTTTATCGGGGGGCGTGTGTTCATCTGCCTGTAGCCCGGCGGGCCTTGGCGAGGGCTTCCATCCCCACGAGAGCCCCCATACCTCCCAGCAGTATAAACAACGTGCTGTTGTGTAAACCCCGGTAACAGAAAATAGTTTTGTATCAAATACAGTATCAAATTGTCATTTCATGTAAACACAGTGATTCTTGGTAAAGATTAGCGGCCAGAGTACCACAAAAAATGGCCATGGAATTAATCCCTGCTTTAAAAAAAACTTGTAAAAGACAAAACAGTTTCCCCACCGAGCTGCTGGGTCAGTGGACTCGTCACTCCCACAACATATGCCTATTCCTGCAGGAAGCACCAGACCAGAAATGCCTGGAACCACGTAGAGCGGCTGGGACGGGCTCCTCTCCACGGCCTGGCGCCCTCGTTCCGTCCTGGTTTTCCTGGAAAGCTCAGTGTACCTTGGTCCTCCTGTGCAACTGGCTTCTGCACCCTCGTCGGCGGTGGTCCCGGCGTGGAGGCCGCGGGGCAGAACCTTCCAGAACCTTCCCTCTGCGGGCCCCTGCGTCTGCACCTCGAAGTTCCGTGGGCGGCAGGCGGCTCCTCGGGGTCTTGTCAGGGTCCTCCTTCCCCAGGGTCTTAGAGCACCGTCCCCTCACCAAACTAAGCAAGCCCAAGCAAAGGAAAACTTAGAGGCTCGCAGGCTGCACGGCCTCCTGCAGGGCCCGGCGCTACCCCTGGAGGTCTGAGAGGGGGGCCCCACAGCTCTCGCTGCAGCTGGAGGAGGTGCTCAGCAGGGTGGACCCCGCACTGGACTCTGCGGGAAAACCAGGCAAGAACGGCTGCGGCTGTGCATCTGCACACTCAAGCTCACGGCTGTGGAACCCCGCGGGCTCGGGGCGCGGCCTGCGCGGGGTGTGGGGGCCTTACCTGAGCTGCTCAGGCACTGAGCCGAGCCGGACGTGCTGAGGAGCGTGGACAGACTGCTGGCCGGCACCCAGCTCTCCTTGCTGGAGGTCAGGTTCCTGACATACCTGAAAGGGGCGTGGGCCGGTCACGGCTCCAGCTGTGTGTCCCCCGTCCCCACGGGCGTCCTGGGCCTGAGCCCACGGCCGGCATCTCACCAAAGGCCCTCGTCGCCCTCGTGGACCACCTCCACCACGTCCCCACTTCTCACGGCAAGCGCGTCGGGGCTTTCCTTCTCGTCGCCCGTCACGACCGTGTACTTTCCTGGAACCTGGTGGCGGAGGACATGGCGCATCAAAGGGCACAGTCCGCGGCCCCCACACCGCGCGAGGCCGCAGCCGCTGTCCGCTGCAGGCACGGTCCCAGGGGGGCGTCCAGCAACAGGAGGACAATGAGCATTTCGTCAGGGCCCTGCTGTTTGTGGGGCTTTTGATGGGACTGTCACCTTAAACAGGAAGAGCTCCTGGTCGTAATGAGATGCCAAGTCTCTCACTGCCACCGTGTTAAAAACCCAACCAACCAGTACAGTGCCCCTGGCTCACGGCTGGTGGTCTGGCCTCGCTGCAGCCGGCCTCAAACACAGCCCCCTACCCCAGAACCTTAGCGCTTGCCGTTCCCTCCTCCTGGAACGAACTCCCCTTCCTTGGCTCCCATCCTTACCTAACACGCCCGCCTGTATTTGACCACCTTTTGCTTTGCCTCCTTGTGAGAGTGGAGACTTGTATCTTTTGTCCTCTGCTCTGTGTCTGGTGTCTAGACTGCCTGGCACCCAGTGTATGCTCAGCATGTTCACACAGACGAAGCGCTGCCACGTGGAGCCCTGGAGCTTGGACCAGGACAGCGCCAAGTGTGCACTAAGTATCTGTCAGCGTAACCCCCACTCTGATGGTTCATGCGTAAACAGCTTCTCCTTGCAGCTTGTGTTAAAGAAAGGGCCTGTTTAGAACCCAAATCTGCGTTCGAACAGTTGAGTTCTCCAAAAAAGTGAGGGAGAGCCATACGCACAGCTTTGCGGATGGTCCTAAGGGCATCCTCCTTGTCTGGAGGGCAGATCAGGTGTGAGCGAGAGAGCCTGTCTGCTGGGAGTCTGACAGTGGAGGGGGGTGGGCACAGAGCCACAGCGAGCCCTGGTGCCTGAGAGTCCCTCTCCCACCCGGGGGCCAGCAGTACCAGGCTGACCGCCCCGGGGGACCCGAGGTTACCAGCTTCCTGGCGCCCACTCTGCCTTCCTCCTCTGCGTCTGAGGAATTAATCAGCTCCTCGGCACTGGACCAGCCGTCATTGTCCTCAGGGGCCTCCGAGGGCTGAGACGTTTTGCTCCAACCTGAGAGAGAACAGACTCCAGTGAGGACCACCCTCAACCACAAGCCTGTCTGAAGGTGGTCTGCACAATTCCCGCCACCCTGCAACATGCGCCCGGAGGGGCCTGCCCCCTCCCTGGAGCTGGACACATGGCGGACTTCCAGAATGCCTGCTAATATGCGTGCCCCCACTGTGCACCATCCAGGGAGGCCCCGAGCACCGGCTTGCATCGCCAGGCCAGCCCAGGGGAGGCAGTGAAGCCAGCCCCTCAGGGAGGTGATCCCACAGGCTCTGCCGTGATGCCCCTGCCGTGACGCGGGGAACACAGAGCCCTGAATATCACCAGTTGGAGATGCCACCATCCATCCATGTTGGAGCAAACACGGCCAGAAGGAAGGAGTTTGCAATTAGTGCCTAGCATGCACACCCATCACACCGCCTGGAGGACCACTCCTCACAGCAGCAGCTGAGGTGTGCGGCGTGTGTCCTGTGCCGGCACCATCCTGGCCCATGAGGTCAGGGCACCTCACGGCACAGGCCAGCAGACGCCGCACACAGACCCGAGTCACACCTCTGCACTTCTGGGGCCACAGAGTGCAGCTGGGCCAGCACGTGTGGGGAGAGAACTTCTGGGGACTTTATGAAATGTGCGCATGTCCCCTCATCAGTGTTTCCCCTGCCCTGCAACCCCAAAGAATAACACCTGTATTTCCCATTTGCAGGAAATTTTGGGAAGAACACAAGCGGGGGGAGACCGGGGGTGACGGATTCCCGATTCCAACACCATAAATGCCAACAGTAACGTGAGAGGTGGAGCCCACTCCTGTGGCACAAGGACCACGGGTACAGCCTGGGGTCGGTGGGAAGACCGCGCGCCGGCTATGGGCTTGGCACGCCAGTTCCAGATACCATGTGGCCTGGGGCAAGTGTGCTTTCCCCAAGGACGTAGGGCTCGCTCCCCTCTGTGAGGTAAGCTGCTGGACAGGCCTGTCCCCAAGGCCTGTGGTGTTTCAAGTTGGCCATGAAACGCTTGTGCTAAAGGGACACAAGGAGTCTCGTCTTCATAGGAAGGGAGCTGGGGCCTAGAGCTGCCCATCAGCCAGCAGTGCTGAGCCCGGAAGGAAGAGTGTGAGAGCCACAGAGGCCCCTGGAGCCCCAGGACCCCACTCCACACAGGCAGGCCCAGTGTCGGAGAGCCCCTGAGCCTGGCCTTCTCAGGGCTGGGCCGCAGGGCGAGTGGCGGGGGGCTGATGTCTGTGCAGGGATGGGGCACTGGGTTTCCTGCTGCAAACCACCCAGCCATGCGCACCCTTGCTCGTCTGGGGGTGTGCACAGCATGCCAAGGGCAGATGGGGCACAGGCGGTGGGGGGCCTTGGGGCCCCAGTGCCAGGCGTCCTCGCTGGGGGGTCTCCTGCTGCAGCCCACCGCCACACATGGGGCTCCCGGCAACACAGAGGCAGACGTGGGCCTGTAGTGCTCCCCTCTCTGCCCCGGGGCCTCGGGGGGAAGTCTCTTTACAGGCTCAAGCAGCTGCCTGCGTTAAAACCACGTTCAAACAAGGGCGTTAGGAAGGTACCGAGGCCCGACGCACGTGAGGCACCAACTGGGGCATGAGGACACGTGTTTGGAACCGGACGGCACCCCTCGATCTACGCAGATGTTGGCGAGTTTGTAAGACACGACGCCAACACGACCATGAGCGTGGTCCCCTCTATACTCTGCAAAATCGTCCCTGATACTGACACTGAGTAAAATTTTAGGCAGATGAAGCTTCTCGGGGGCAAGCATGTAAGCGTTTGCGAGAGGGCCCAGGAGGCTGGTGGCTCGCTGTCGTCCGCCGCGGAGCGGCCAACGGGGAGCAGAGGAGTCGGAAGGGAAGGGGACTGGCGGTGGGGCCCCAGGTGCCACGCTCAGGTCCCGTCTACGGTGACCTTGCGAAGCCGCCGCATCTTCCCATCACAGGCGAGGACACACAACTTGGCTGAAAGGCGGTAGGAACCGCGAGCAAGTGGCCACAGGTAGGGCTCAAGCCCCTTCACCAGCTTCCTGCACAAGGGAAGTCAGCCAGGGCAATGCTCAAACGTCTCCAGGTCTTCAGTAGAAAACAAGGCTGTCAATGGAGAAGTGACCCCTGTCCTAGGCCCTGGGACCTCAGTGGCGGCCCCTGGGCGCTGTCCACCCACATGAAGGCTGTGGGAAGCCCCTGGCCTCCGAGCTGTCACGTGGGGGCAGGCCTAGAGCTGCCGTCTGGGTTCTGGACACACAGACCTGTGCTCAAGGCCGAGTGTGCTGGGTGACCTCTGGGTGGTCCTGGGGGTGGGTGTGAGGTCAACTGCACCCCTTGGGAGCCTTCACAATTATTGGAAAATTCAAGAGGATTCAAAGTGAATCCCTCCCTGCAAACTTCTGACCCTCAGCCTTGGCCGCGGGGGTCTTTGGATTTTTGGGGGGACATGCTTTACCCTCATGATATGAGGGGCAGAAAGGAGAAAGCCTGAGGTCCAGTATGGAGCTTGGCCCCACCTGTCTGTACAGCCTGCCATCCTCCCATGAAATGGGTCGTCGGCAGGATGCCATTGGTGGCTACCTTCTGTGCTTCCAACAAGAAGCTTCGGGACAACAGGTGCCGCCGGGGCGAGGCTGGTGCTGTAGGGGCCTGAGGGCGGGGTGCCCCACAGCCTGCATGGCCGCTGTAACGGCCCAACCCAACCTGCATGCTGGCCAGGCTTCAGCAGCCTCCAACTGGTGGCCCCTGGGGGTTCTGTAGGTTCTGGGCAGACCCGGTGCGAGTCCAGCTGAGACGGGTCCAATATCACGGTATCTGTCGCCAGAGCATCGTGCTTTTGGAGAAAACAGTGAATCTGCTCCTGGCTAGGAGACACCTATTTTGTTTTGTGTTGTTGGTGGTGAGCAAGGGCAAGACAGTGTCCCTAACCGGATGGGTAAGTGGAGGTCCGGCTACGTTCAGAAGGTGGAGCCACTCTACCTCGTAAACCAAAAGGCGTTGGGTCGCTCTTTACTTCGTGTCGCTTAGCTTTTTTGTCAGGGCTGGTAGGAGAAGCTGCAGAAGGAGGAAGAGGCAAAAATACGTGAGGACCTGCATGCAGGGTGCGGGGGGGAGGCGAGAGGAGCAGTGTTCATGCTGGGAGGGGACACAGACCCCCAGCGGGCTCACTGTCACTGTGCAGAGTAGCTTCCTGTGAACAGAATGAAGCTAGTGGACGGTCCCTCGCGCGGGGGACAGGAGAGGCCCCGGAGAGCAGGAGGAGGTGAGGCGGCACCCGCGTTCGAGGGGCCACGTGTAGGTGCATCAACTCTGCACAAAAGTACGCACAGGATGCATACTTGCCGTGCTCATCAGCCAACTATATAGCTCCAGAATGTGTCCTTCCTTTTTTTTTTGAACGTTTGAGGCCAACTTAACACTACTTTACAAGTTGAAACAAAATTGAAACCAAAACCCTCCGGTTTTCTGGACCAGTGACAACTGGCTTTTAGTTTCAGCCAGGGAGTCCAGTGCTTGCTCCCTGAGCTACCTCCGTGTGCGTTCCTCCGCACGGCTCAGCGCCAAGCAGCACTGAAAGGCGGCCCAGCTCTTGGAGATTTCCGTGCGAGGGACCCTCTAGGCGCCCTGTGCCTAGCGACCACCCCTCAGGGGCAGGCGACACCAGCTCGCGCACGCCGTGGGGAAGCAGGACACCCGCAGGGGCCGAACGGGACCGAGCAGGAAAGGGGCGGGTGGCGCAGGGGGCGCTGCCCCATGAAAACCAAGAAAAGCAAGTGACAACTCCGGTTTCTGAGCGAGCCTTCGCTGGAAAAGCCAGCTTCCACCGTTTCAAACCCGAGGCCCCGCGGAGAGAACTCGGCTGCGTGCGCCAGAGACACGCCAGCACCAGGACACGCGGTTCGGTGGGGAGAGCCGGGCGGCCGCGCGTGGTGATGCCGCGGCCGCCCACACAGATGAGCACCGCACGAATGGATGACAGACAGGCCACCACGGTGAGGGGCACAGCCACGGCATGGATTTGAGCTGGGTGCCTTTTACCTTTCTGAGCTCTGAGGTTAGCAAAGCCCTGCAGAGTAAAGCGCTTTCTGGAAAGCGCGGAGCTTTCTGAGGTAGAGCTAGTGACCGTGTCATCTACAAAGGAAGAGAGAGGGATGGTGTGGGGGCGCTCGGGGCACACGTCCGGTCACGCGGGCTCTCCTCTGGGGCACCCCGGCCGCCAGGAAGGGCGCTTCCCTGGGAGGTCCCGGCGCGCAGTGCAGGCAGTGGTCCGTGCGTCCCAGACACGCCTGCTCACAGACACGCTTGACGCAGCTCCCGGCGCAGACACCCACCTCTGCCCTTCTCGGGGGGCTTCGGCAACGACGTGGAGCTCACGTATCCTTCCAGGCTGAGGGGGTCAGTTTTCCTTTCTTCCAACTTCTTGATGTTCCTCGTGCTCCCTTTCGAGGGACTAATGACGTCACACACACCGGAAAAAGAAGGAGAAGTAGAACGTTGCAGGTTAGTGTTTCAAGTCCTCCCTGAGGATCCGAGGCTGCGCCGTCCCTGGGGCCCCACCGGGTCCTTCAAGCCCTTCTGGGCTCCCGGGGGTAGAACCACACGAGAACAAACACCACATGCTGGGTGCAGGTAGGGGGTGGGGGGTTTCTCTGAGTTCGGGGGGCAGTCTTTCTCTTTTCAAAGTGTTGTGCTGTGGATTATTTCCCTGGACCACAGCCTGTCCCACCAAGCGTCAGAGGTGGCTCACAGCAGAAACAGGAGAAATAGTCACAAAGCCGCGTGAACGCATACAATAGCAGGAAAGCTGAGGACAGACAAGGCATGATGAAGCCAGCGTGAGGCCGGTGTGTCGGGCGTGGCTCTGCACCTCGGTCCCCACAGCCCCTGTCCCTGTCCAAGGAAGGCGCCACCGTCGTGGAAACATGGCGGCTGTCACGCTCGCCAGCTGCACGTCCTGTGCTGACTTAACAGGAAATGACCCACAGATGGAAATCAGAGACGGTTAGGAGCTGGCCTCTGCCCAGGGTGGGGCCAGAGACCCTGTCCCCGAAGCTGGCCCGCAGGGACAGACCCCTAGCACGCAATGCCAGGGGACACTCCGGGGCCTTCTGGCACACCCAGGGTGACCCAAACCCCAGTAAGGAGAAGCGGGTCACTGGCCGCGTGGATGCGGTGGCGCGTGCAGCCCCGCACTTTCCCCGGCTGGAGGCGCTCACCTGGTGCTGGGCGGTGCGGGCAGAGGCAGGCTCTGGGACTGCTCGAGCACTCTGTGCTGGCTGGCTTCTGCAGGGAGGGAACAGCCCCGCTCACCGACTTTACCCCTCACGCTGCAGCACCGCTGAGAGCTCAGAATTTGGGGGGCGCTCTGGACATGCGCAAAAATGCGCCCGGAGCCAAAGCCAAGAGCAGCTCGCGGCCGCAGCGGCTCTTACCTCTGCAGGCTTGCAGCTGGCTGGTCAGCACCTTGCGGATCTCACTCACCCACGCAGCTTTGATTTCAGGGCTCGGTGCCTGAGGCAGGAAAGGAATGCCAGGAGGTGAGAACGCACGTTCCCTAAAGACACTGCTTTTCCTTTTACTCCTGAAGCTTCTGCGGACCACCTGGGGAACGGACCATGGGAGCACGGCCCTGGAGAACGGAGGTGATGGACGGTCCCCTTGCCTTGGGACTGTGCCACAGGCACGACACGGCGGGAGGGCCTGTGGGCCACATGAGGCGGGGGGCCAACCGCCCGGCCTCCCCCTCCACACCCTCGCTGGCGTCGGACTCAGTGGAAACCTGGGGCACAAACCGCCCTTTGGGAGCACGTTTCTCCGGGAAGTGGCCTGTGGCATCGTTTTATGACGAGGAAGACGGGAGAAGCTCCCAGGGCACGAGCGGCGCGAGCCACCGTCCTGCCTCGGTACCGCGCGTGCGGCCAGAGGGCAGTGACAGCTGGGCCCTGGAGGTGGGGCCGGCAGAAAGCCAGAGTGCCGGCCGCCGTCCCTGCGGCTCCTGGGGGCCGGTGCCCGAGCTGGAGCCGGGCGCCATCGCCGCGGGCCTGCCGTGCTGGTGCGCGTGCCGGGACAGTGTGCCGCAGCCACTGCATCCCACGGGGCTGCCACCCTGTGTCTGAGCGTGGAGGGCAACCCGAAGAGGCCTGTCCTGAGTGCTGGCCGACCCCGTCACAGGCCCCAGGGGCGGGCCACGTGGGCTCAGGGCGCACTCGCTGTCCTGCCACCTCCTGCCCTCCCCAGCGCGGCAGGGGCCGTGAGGGGACCAGGACAACCTGGTCACGTGTGTAACACACGAGCCCGTGTTCCCAGCCACGCCCTTTGTGCACCCTAACTGCCGGTTCCCCATACTTCCTCCTGGGCCCAGCTCAGGGCAGCCCCCCTACAAGGCCTCTGGGAGATAAGGCTCCAAGGAAGCTTCCAGATGCCTGCCCTCGCCGGAGAGGCCCGACAAGTCCCCGAGGCCTGGTCCTGGAGAACGCGGGGCCTACCTGTACAATGTACACCTCCTCCCTGGCGTTGTACCAGATCTCAAACTTCCTCACGTCGCCCTTCACGTTCTCTGTTATGCCGACGGCCGCCATCTGGCCACACAAAGCAGGGAGACAGATGTTCGTTATGTGTGACATGAGAGCACACCACCCTCCCGTCTTTGAAAGGGGTTGGTGCATACTCCAGATGCTGGAAGTGGTTTTGGGGTGGGGGCTGAGGGCATCAGGGGTCCTGGACTCCCGCACCCAAAGATACGAGTGGCATGCGCCAGGAGCCGGGCGGTGTGGCCGCGGCTGCTAGAACCTTGACCGGTGGCCCTCTCCGCTCCGTAGGGTCAGCAGCTGTAGGGAAGAAGCCTCACTTACGTTCAGGGACTGCTTGTAGCTGTAGGAAGGGGCTTTCTCGTACCCTTCCCCGTTCTCCTCCCTCTTCTTGCAGAAGAGCACAGCCTTCTCGTGCAGGAAGAGGTGCCGCTGCATGGGCTTGAACCTGGCCAGGTCCTTCACCTTGGTGTGGCCCTTCTTGTGGTCCGTCCAGACACTGAACGAGCCCTGCATCAGCAGCTTCCCCAGGTCACTCAGGTTCCCCTAAGCCCAGAATGAACGTGGGGCCTTATATGCACATTGTTGAGGAAAAGCAGCCCTCCTTGGAGGGCTGCGTCCTGTAGGACCCCCGCTCCGTAACACTTGGGAAAAGCAGAACTGTGGAGACAGGTGAGGGGTCGGGGGTGGCCAGGGGCTGGGGGAGGGTGAATGGATGGAGCACGGGGGCTTTCGAGCAGAGAAACTCTGTCTGACACCGTCCTGGTGGACACAGGGCGTTCCACGTCTGTCCAAACCCATGGGAGGCACATCCTGGACTCTGGGTGGAGACGATGAACCAGTGGAGGCTCATCCCCGTGACAAAGGTCTCTTCTGTTGGGTGTGGGGAGCGGGGGGTGCTGTGCATGGGGGCACAGGGGCATGGGGGAAGTCCTCATGCCTTCCCTTATCCTGCAGCAGACCTAACACTGCTCTAAAAATAAAGCCTGTCAAATTCAGAAGAACAGGGCGGGCGTGAATTGACTTACAGAGAAGTGACAAAACTGCCCTAAATTCGGGCACATGAGGAAAAAGCAGAGTCTGACCTTCACGGCCGCTTCTCCCCTGTCCCCAGCCCACAAGCGGCGGCCAACACAGATCGGCTCTGAGCACCGCCGCCCTCAGGGCTCCTGCACTGACAGGCTGCTCGGAGGGGTGGAGGCTCCCTGCAGTCGGGGTCATGCCCCAAGCTGGGGGTCCGCTCACCCCGGGCCCACCCCAGACGCCAGTCGGAACTGGGTTCCCGCCAGATTGCAGGGACATGCATGCACACGGGTGCTCCCCGCACAGCTCTGCACGGACGGCAGGTGGACCGTCACCAGGCTCGCCGGCGGGACAGGGAGGCCCTTACGTCGTAGCCGGTGATGGCGATCAGGTGCATGGAGTCGTTCACAGCCTTGAGGATGCCCAGGATGGAGCTCAGTGCCTCCTGCAGGTCCTCGGCCCCCTCGCAGCTCTTGCTGTATTTTAGCATCTCCTGGGAGACGAGGAGGCGTTCACACAACCTCGGGACACGGGACTCCCCGCTCTGGCCCTGGGCACCTGCGTGGACCCTCAGGACACATAGCGTGGCTCCCTGCATGGCCGGGGAGGTCCAGGATGCCCCCCCCCCCCCCACAGCCTGCCTGTCCCAACGGTCCTGCCTGGTGCTGCAGACAGGGACACCCCCTGAGCCAGACGCTCGGCCAGGCCTCTCCAGGGTGGGTGCCCCTCCTGCAGCTCACGTCTTCCCACTCCTAGACCTGTTATTCTTTCCTTTCGGACCTGACACCCCCAAACCCGTGATGGCTTAAGGCATCTGCGCGTCCACTGGCTCGCCCACTCTGGCCCAAAAAGGAAGCTGGACACAGGCAGCCTTGCAGGGAGGACCGCGTGTGGGTGCACAGCCTGGGGTGTGTGCGTGGAGACGCCTGGAGCACGTGCTCCACGGGGCAGGGTCTGCCCGACTGTTCGCCCCTCTGTCCGTGGCCCCCTAACAACGGCCGGCACACAGTAGGCACTCCACAAAGGTCTGTGAAGAGCTAGGGCCCTCGCAGAGGGGCCGGGACCATGGTGCTCGGGGGTGGCCGGGGCGGCCGCAGGTGGGGGGCTGTGAGGCCGCGAGGGCGCAGCGGTGGGGGGGCGGGGGACACAGGCAGCTCACCTTGAGCAGCAGTTGGTACTTGGTGATTCTCTGCACCGGCTTCAGCAGGTAGGAGTCCAGACTCAGCTTGTGGTCCAGCTTCCTCTGACACTCCTGCAACCCAGAACCCGCCCGTTGGGACCGTCTCAGTCCCTGTGTGAGTGCGGAGGTGCGGGAGGCCGCGCGCTCACAGGGGGCTCGCCCAGACACACCTGAAAGAACGGGCAGTCGGAACACTGTCTCCACAGGCTCTCGGAGCGCGGCTTGTTCTGACAATACTTCTCGTAGATCTGGAACTCTTCCATCTGACCCGGGGACAGAGCGCGTCACGGGGCGCACCCCGTCCCCTCCTCCACCTCCCATGCCGCATCGCAAGCCCACCAGGGTTCGCTTCGGAGCTGCGTTAGTCCCTCCTGCACACAGACTAGCACCACACGGCTTGCTTTTTGCCGTGAGAATAACAGACTAAAAACAGTGGCTAACTTTCTAACGAAAGAGCCCGCAGAGCTTGGTGCTCAAACGCGCGTGTGCACGGAGCTGCCCGGGGGGCTTGTTAACACAGAACCCCCTGCAGGTTCTGAGTCGGCAGGTGTGGGGTGGGACCTGAGAACCTGCATTTCCAGTAAGATCCCAGGATGCTGATGCTGCAAGCAGCATCCTGAACCAGTTACTGGGCTTTAGATAAAGCCCTACCTCAGGGAGACCGGGAACATCTGCCCTTCGTGATTTCAGTGGGCTAGAAGGAGACTGTGATAGGGTTTAAAGTCATGATTGTTTCATGCAGTAATTTTAACAAGGAAGGCATGGCAAGGCGCACATTGAAAAAACACATACCCGTTCCAGGAAACACCTTCCGACCAACTCTGGGCAGCCTGCGTAGTCTTCCAGCTCCCTCAGGAATATTCTAGACAGAGAAAGTTCGCCAGAGGTCATGTGAAGAGCAACCCGGAGGAGACGGTGGTCACAGATGAATGGATGTCATTTCCCAGGTCACGTTTATTTCTGGCTCTGGACAGTCAGGAGACTGTGAGCAGGACCCCGCAGCGCAGGCCGGGCTCGGGGACGAGGAGGCAGACAGAAGCCAGTGCAGCTGTGAGAGGCCCACCCAGACCCACTGAGCTCCTCAGGGGTCAATCCTGCCTCGAGGGAGAGCTCCCTGGGGTCAGTTCACAAGCACTGAGGCCTGGCCCGAGCCCGGGATGCTGAGGGACCAGGCCACTTGACCAGCGCCCCCTCCATGGGGCGAAAAGGAGCAGTCCGGGGGCTCCGGTGGCAGACTGGTGCCTCCTCTGGAGGCAAGTGGGTGACCGAGGCTGAAAGGAGTCCCAAGCGCCCCCACAAGCCCAGAGGAGGCTTTCTCAGGACGCAGAGGCCTGTGCTGTCTGTCCGACTGCCACCGTGCAGCCTGCATCCACCCCTCACGTCCTTGCCCACGAGCTCCCGCAAACTGCAGCGAGGAGCCAAGGGTGGGTGGACGGCCGCAGGGACACTGTTCGCGCTTCCCCCAAAGCCATGGCGGCCGCAGACGGCACTCGCGGGGGGAGAAGAGGCAGCACACAGGGGTGTCTGCTGCTGCCTCCTTTGCAAGGACGAGCTTGGGGACAAGACGGGCCTTGCTGAGTGGTGCGGCTTCGGTGCCGCCCCAAAGGGCCAGACGTACACACGGAGCGGGACTGGTCACTGCTGGCCCGGCAGGCGTGGGGGGCGCTCCTACGTCCTCAAAGCCCCAGGTGCTTCCCAGCACACCCGTAACGGCCTGGCCAGCGCCTCCCCACTGAGCCCACTGCCCCACAGCAGCCCCTGAGAGCCTGTCCCTGGGAGGGGGAAGGATGCTCTCTGCCCACAGGCCACAGCCCAGGGCCCGCGTGTGGTCCGGCTCCCTGCAGGCCGCTGTCTCAGAGGCAGACCCCACCGGACAGGTGTGGTCAGAGGAGGGCCTGACCTGTTATGAAAGTGGTAAATCTCTTCCATGTTTCCAAAGAGAACGTCCTTCTTGTTCTGGAGGCCCGGTGACACGAGGTGCGCCATGAGCGGGTTATCCAGCTCAGCGGCATAGCCCTGCGGAGGAGGGGAGAGGTCAGGAGGCACGCCGGGTTCTGGAACAGGCTCTGTGGGCTGCCAGCAGGTAGGGGACGCCTCTCAGGGTTTAGAAAGTGAATCCACCCTTACTTATTCACTGACCGTTTCTGAGATGACCACCCAGACAACAAGCACCAAAAAATGTGAGTGAACTACAGATGGCACCATTTTTAGGGGTTGTGCTGTGGGGTGGGGGGAGTTCCATCCCCTGCCTCTCAACCTCTTAAAACTCATTTAACTGGTATGAAGGAGAAAAATGTTATGTATACCCCTTGATGAACCATTCAAATGTCTACACCCCTGTAACCACCACCCAGACCAAGATCCAGAACATTCCAGTGCCCACAAGCCCCTGCCTTCCTGGCAACAGCCCCCGAGGCTTCCACTCTGCTCCTCCACCCAGACCGGGTGGCTCAGCTGTTCCCGCAAGGAACTTGCACACAGTCCTCCTCTTGCTCCTGCCACGCTCCGGGGTCAGCCACGCTCCGGGTCAGCCACGCTCCCGGGTCAGCCACGCTCTCTTGCTCGCTGCTGGTATAGGTCCCTGTGCAGATGCACCTATGTCTCCTTGTCCCTGGTCCCACTGATGGACACGTGAGTTGTTTCCAGCTTGGGGCCATCTGAGTAAAGCTGCCACCCTCCTCTCATGCTCTATGTGTGGGGTGAGCCGGCTAGCAGGCTCCCCGGGTGCCCCCGCCACCCCTGGCACAGGCTCACCTCCAGGACACAGAGCAGCTCCTCCACGTAGACCCGTTCCGTGTCCAAGAGCTCGTTCATCACATGCCTGTGAGCAGAGAGGGGTTAGGGCAGGAAGGGGTGCAGACAGAAGACCCCCCAGAGCGGGGGTGGGTGTGGGAAGAGGAGGGGGTCCAGAAAGAGAAGTGGCACCAGCCCGCGGGCGCGGTGCAAGGAGGAGCCAGGGGGCCGTCAGGGGTGGTGAGCACTGCTACACATCCATCTCTGGGGAATCACACAGGCTCATCACCTGGGGCTTAAGGAAGGGGGGACACATGCCATTTAAATCATCAAAATCCTGCCTGCAGATCCAGGGACAAAAGGCTTTTCTAGGAAAAACCAGCTTTGTCTTGTCTCTGGACGTGGACTCGCCAAATGGACAGACGCCTGCACGCCTGCACGTAGCATGGCGCATGCCCGTGTGTGTGCTCCCTGATGCCCGCTTTGCGGTGGACGCTGACAGAGCCCACCAACTCGGGCCTGCTGATGTTCAGACTCCCCGTGGCCAAGGGCTGAGATCTGGGATGGTCGCACTTGCCGTCTCTGGACCAGAGCCACTCACCTCCGCAAGACGGCCAGGCTTCCCTCCTCATCCCCCGTGGAGCTGCTCCGGCCCTGCCGGCTCTCACTCATCTCGCTCTGGGGAGAGAAGAGCACGCGGTGCATCGAGCATATTCAGACAGGAGACGGTACAGCCCTACGTCCTGACTCTGAGGAGCCCAACCTCACTCCCCGCTGGGGAGGGGTCGGAGGTCCCACGGCACAGGCGGGGCGGCACTGCAAGGGGAGCCGCCGTTGGGGGGCGGCCTGGACAGCGGCCTCACCTTGGCCCTCCTGTAGGGCCCTCTCCGGAGCGCGCTGCCCTCAGAACTGTTCTCAGAGCCTCTCCGGCTGCCTGGTTTGGAAAGAAATGAAGAAGGGAGGTGTGGCTTCGTATCTCACTGCCTGGAGGGGAACGACAGCACCTGGGAGCGCGGGATGGTTGTAGGGAGAGGAGCAAGCCCCCTGCCCGCCCAGGACGGGGAGGAAAGCAGAGGAGGGCGGGTGGGAGCCCAGGAGGGAACGGGGAACCCAAGCACACACACGTGGGACCCGGACAACACGGGGCCAGGGGTAAGGTCTCCTCTGACGGATGCCACATGCTGTGGAGGAGGGAGCCGGCTCTCCAGGGTCTCACCGGCTTACGGCACACGCGCCAAAGCCCTGATGTGGATGGCAGGCAGACGCCGCCGCAGAAGGGGCTCTGGGAAATGGTGTGGCCACCTGCTCAGCCTCCGAGGAGGAGACCACGAGAAACCGGGGCCGCTGGGGGCTTTGGGCTGCAGTCGGAGAACTGTTTTGGCAACAGCACTGAGGAAGATAGGCTGGGGCAGACTGGAGTCAGGGAAGAGCCCCTTGATGGCTAGTGGACGGCACACACCGGCTGCGTGCCGATAAAACTTTATTTACAAGGGCCCACCGTGGCCTAGAAGGACGGCGACGGCACACACCTGGGGAGGGGCAGGGCGATTTTGTGAGCGCCTCTGGCCGGGGGGCCACGGGCTGCACGGGCCGCGTCTGCTTGGCTGCCAGCTTCTTCAGGCTTGCCTGTCTCCGGTGGAACATCTCCTCCATGCCCTCTTGCTTCTGGAAGACCTTCTGCACGTGCTCCTGAAGGGACAGGGTATATGGACTCGTGAGCAAGAGACACCACCAATTTCAGAAGCACACCCTCCGCTGAGCTTGGGACACAGCCCCACGGGGCCACACAGCAATCCCGCACTCCTGCCCTTGCTGCGGACGGAAGAGGTGGGGCCCCCGTGGGACTGGAGGCTGAGAGGCCGCCACGGGTCTGTGGGCCCCTGGAGGAAGGGTGCGGACAGCCGGCTGGGCGGGGGAGGGGCGCTGGGCCAGGGCCGTACGCAGCAGGACTCGCAGGAGGGGGCCCCCAGCAGGACCCTGGGGGCAGGGAGACTGCCCTGGGAGGGAGACGCTGCTGGAAGGGATGCTGAGCCCCACGACCGCCCAGGATGCTCTAAGAGGTCAAGCCGGGATTCTTCCGCACACCCCGGAGCGACTTCCTGCCGTCAGCACAGGGCCCGGCTCCGCTTACCATCAGGTCTTTGGTGAGGATGGACTCGTAGTCCTGGTAAATTTTATTGAGCTCTTGGATCTTATTCTCTGCACCGGTCTCCAGGAATTTCTCAATTTCCTGCAGGGCCGCCTCCGCGCCGTCCTGGGACTGGCACTTGTCCACAGGCTGTGAGGCTAGCAGGTAGATCCCCTCATCACACCACCTCATGGACTGGGGCAGGGGGAGAGAGGGGCGCTGTCAGAGGCCGTGTCTTGGCGTGTCTGGTAGGCATGCTCTGCCCGGGCCCTGCCGGCTGCCCCACCCGCCGCCGGCCGCCACCATGCTCTGGGAATCTCTGGGCACGGATGCGCGGCGCCCCAAAGCCACGCACACCGCCTGGACGGACTCGTTCACGCAGAGAAAGTGCAGGGAATTAGCTGCATGCCGGCTTTGGTCCTTGTGGCGAGGGAATTCTAGAAAACGGCAGCCGTGACTGGCTGGGCTCAAGAAAGGCCCACAGACCGCAGGGCGGGGGCCAGCTCCCAGCCCGTGCCTGTGTCCACGGCGAAGGAGCGGGCCACGCGGGAGCAGGAGGGCAGGGACGGGGGTCTTACTGCTTCCAGGAGGCCGTGCAGCTCCAGGGACTTGCTGAGCAGCCCCCTCCGCCTCTCCACCTCGGCCGCGAACTGGTCACAGAGGTGCTGGAGCTCGTGGCACTTGGGGCGGATGGAGTCCACGGCGTAGTGCTTGCTGTCAATGAGCTTCTCACCCTCCAGGGAGAGGGCGCGGGCCCGCTCTACAGAGGCCTATGGAGACAGCCGCCCAGACACATGGCTCAGCTCAGGCTGTGAAAGCAAGCAGCGTGCGATTTCTGGGAGGGATCCGTGGGGGTGGGGTGAGAGTGGGAGGGGTCGTGGGCGGGGCTGTGCTGCCACCCCTCCACTCGTGACGTCCCCCACCTGATGGCGAGGAGCCCCCTTCCCGTGTCTTCCTAAGTGATGCCGTGGTGTCATGAGCACCGCCTGCAGGCTGTGCCCTGCCCACACCAGCCCACGTCCCAGGCCTTACACTCGACTTCTCCTCAAAGCTGGCAAGGTCCTTCAGGAGGTGCTCTGCGTGCGCCAGGCTGTTACCCACATCGGTGAAGGTTGCTATCTTCTGGGCCAGTGTGTCTAAAGAGGCTTTGTCCTGAAACACAGGAGGGGCAGGAAGGCCCAGGCCCACGTCAGGTATGGAGGCATGGCCCAAAGTTGGAAGGGAGGGGGGAGAGAGGAGCCAGGTCCTTCTCAGGGAACAGGGCAGAGGGACACATCCTCAGAAGTCTTACAGCCTACCAGACGGCTGTCATGGTGGTGAGAACAACGCCTTCCTTCTAAGACCGGGAACAAGGCAAGGAAGTCCACTCTCACTATGTAGCCAGTGCAAGACGGCGAAATACATGCATGCACGCATGCATAAAAACACAAACAACCCAGAGACTTACAGATGGAAAAGGAAAGAATCAAGCTGTCCCTGTTTGCACAAGACCTAATCATCTATGTAGAAAATCCCCCAAACTCTACAAAACAATTAACAGAGTAAGTGAGTTCAGCAAGGTTTCAAGAAGCAAGGTAAACACACAAAAATCAGTTGTATTTCTAGGTATAGCAATGAATACATGGACACCAAAACTAAAAACACCATCTACAGTTGCTTAAAAATGAAATACTCGAGTGTAAATCAAATAGATCACATACTAAACTGGTTTGCCGAAAACTGCAGAACATTGATGAGAAAAATCTAAGTAAAAGGTGTGACAGACATGTTGTGTTCATTGATTGCAAGACTCAACGTAGGAAAAATGTTGACTCTCCTCCAAATATAGATTTAGTACAGTTCCTATCAAAACGGCAGCAAAACTTTATAGATCTAGAAAGATTATTTTTTGCGGAAAGGCAAAGGAACTGGAGAACCTAAAACCATTTGGGGACAAAGAGGCGGTGGGAGGAACGGTCCACCTGATTTCAAGACTTAGTGCATGGCCCGAACCAGCAAGACTGTGTGTGGGGTTGACGGACAGATGGGACGCACACCTGGAAGCAGACCCAAATGGATATGGCTCACTGACTTCTGACAAAAGGCGGAAAACAGTCCAACGGAGAACAGAAAGCCTTTTTGACAAATGCTGCCAGAGCCCCTGGACACCCAGAGACTAAAAACTGAACCGTGACCTGATTCTCACCCCACGCAAGAGCTAACTCAAAATGGATCAGGGCTTAAACCTAAAACTGTAAGACTTTTAGCAAGAAAAGCCCAGGAGAACGTACTTGGGACCCAGGATTTAGGATGGATGCCAAAAGTATGATCCTTAAAAGAAAAAAACTGGACTTTCTCAAAACGAGAACATGTGAAGGGTTAAATCGTGGCTTCCCCGCACCCCCAGAACCCTAATTATTCAGCAGTAACAAGAGTGAACTTGCAACACCTGCATCGATTCTGCGGCATGAAGAGAGCCAGACCCAGAAGGCTACATATGTATGACCCCGTTCTAGAACATTCTTGAAATGACAGCATATGGAAACAGAGCAGATCAGTGGTTGCCAGGGGGTCAGGAGGCGAAGGGTGGCTGGGGACGGGCGTTCAGCAGAGGGAGGGGTCGAGGCTCAGCAGGGCAAAGGGAGGGGTAGGAGGGGACGTGGGTTTAGGAGGGCAGGGGTGGGTGGGGTGGGAGGCAATCATGTCTACAAGAGGGAAACCCGCGTCTGCGTTGGCGCGGGATGTTCCGTGTGCCGACCGCGTCAGCGTCTGCGCTGAGATCCTGAGCGCGGTTTGGGAGACGTGGCTCTGGGGGCAGTTGGCTGGAGACTAGGTGAGAGGTCTGGCTGGATTCTTTCACAACTGCACGCAAATCTACAACCATCCGTAAGGTGTCGTTTGTCGTGTCTGGTGAGCCCTCCTCAGCGCCCCCAGCGCAGATTAGGCAGGACCACCTTCCCTGCTCCCACAGTGTGCCGTTCGCACAGGGGGGTTACCTCTCTGGTCCCAACCAGGGAGGCTGGTCCCCTGCGCACCGAGCTCCCGCACGTGCTCAGTGCTACTGAACCAAACCCGTGTTCCCGCAACGGTGACATTTCGGGACTCTGGGGGGACCGGAACGCTTGCTTCTGCTCCCCTGGCCCTTACCCACGGCCTTGCGACAGCGTTTGCACTGGACTCAGGGTTGTTACTTACTTCTCGCGCATTTGGGACCCCCCCACCCCAGCCTGACCAGAAGGACCAGGAGAAACATCATGGGGCAGGGCGAGGGCACATGGACGGCTCAGCGCGCTCATGAGCATAAATAAGTGATCAACGGCTTCTGTTGAGTCCTGCCGAGACCACTGACACCACGGCTGCGTGTCACCCCGTGTCACTGCCACGTGTCACCCCGGCGCGTCACCCCCGCAACCCCTGTGCTCCAGAGCCCAGCATGACTGCTGCTCTCAGTTTTGTGCGCCTGGGTCGCGCGAGCAGGCACAGGACAGATGCGTGCTGGGCGAGGGAGCGTCCAGATGGCTCCTGGACTCGGCTATAAGGAACACGGGGAAGCGCACGCCCACGGCAGAGAGTGGAACCTGCCGTGGGCAACAACTCACCGGCCACATGCCTCAAGGTCTGGTCCCACTGGGTCTTGTGGCTCCGCGGGGCAGACAGAGACCTGGGCAGCTCGGCCCAAAGCAGCGGGTGGATCTGGGCCACCTTACCGGCTTCCTGCGCCCACAGCCAGCTGCCCACTCCGGCCGCTCACCTCTCGAAAGTCCTGTTCAAAATGCCGGAGCTGCAGACACTGTTGGAGCTTCTGCTGATGCTTTGCCCAGAACTCATCGAAGGCAGCCTCAGTCTCGCTCAGCTGCGCCAGGAGCCTGGGGAGAGGAGAGGCTCTGTCTGTGCGGGTGTGCGGTGTGGGGTGCGGGCTCTGGGCTCCGGCTCCACGGCCTGCCCACACCATCGCCACCTCTCTCCGGGACTGGACGTGGGATTCGCAGGGCCAACTGTGCCCGCCGGAGAGGCACAGCAGGGGTGACCCCGCCGGGCCACTGCCCACACACCTCATTGCACTGGGCCACGCCAATGCCCACTGGGAGCCCGTGGCAAAGGGCTGGGCTGAACGTGTTAGCAGCTGAGAGGGCAGTGGTCTGGGCTTCTCACTTCTAAGTTCGGGCATGAAGGGTGCAGTGACCCGCCACCATTCACTGACCCCGCTCCCAGGCCAGAACGCCTGCCAGACGCCCATGGGTGTTAGCCCGTCAGCGCTGGGGTCAGCTCCAGCCCCCTCTGTTCATGACTCCACACCTGCATGGGGCCCCCTGAGGCTGCCCCCCCCATCCCTGGCACAGCACGCCTGCCCGCTGTGTAAACTGCATGTAAGAGTCCGCCTGGGTCTGGGCCTGGGTCAGCCCGTGGTGGGCTGGGTGTCACCCGCGGGCCATCCGGCTGCTGGGTTCCCGTGCACGCCTCGTCCCCGGACAAGGACCGGGCCCAGCGTGGGGCTGTGGGCGTTCCAGGGTGCTGGGGTCAGTCCGCACGGCGCTGCCAGGCGGCTGTAGCTCAAGGAGGATGTGCACGTTGTCCTCTTTCCAGGAAGGACAGCATCCCTGGGTCTCAAAGGCACAAGCCAGCCCGGTGGGCGGGGACCGGTGGGTGCAGAAGGGTTAAGGCCCCAAAGGCCTGCAGGACCCGGTCAGCACCAGCTCCCTTAAGCGTCCCCCGTGCTAGCAGAAAAGAACCTTCACTCTAAGACAGCTTCCTCCCCGGAACAGCTGCTTTCTTTGGGGTACAGAAGACAAGCTTGTCAGTGGTAAGGACTTGCGGTCCCCTTGCTTCCCGTTAGGATGAGGACATGGGGGCCCCTGTGTGCTCTGTTGCTCTGGCCTCAGCCCGGGCCCTCACCTTTGCACAGTGGTCTGGTTATCCAGCTGGTCCTGGTTCAGGCTCTGCTCCCCGCTCTTGGCCAGTGGCTCCCTGATGTTCTCCAGGATGCTCTGCCCCTCGTCCAGTGCCAACCTCATGTCCTCCTGTGGGGACAGTGCGTGCCTGGCACCCCGGGCTCACTCCCGCCTCTCCCTTAGAGCTGCCAAAGGACGGCAGGTGTCCGGAGACTCCTCCGCTATGGCCAGGGCATGGCTAGGGCTACGGTCACTTGGGGCAGTGGGAGCAGGGAAGACACCAACAGGAAACCAGACCTCTAGGTGCCTGCTTCCGCGGTGTCCTCGCTGCCAGGACCGAAGGGAGTGTGGGCTTCTGGGGGTGGGGCCAGCCCTGACTCCAAGCCACACCCCGCCCAGCTCAGGCTCCCCGGAGTGTGGCCGGCTGACTTACGGACCGATGCAGTCCCCTGGGTCAGCCTCCGTCCCCCACCCGCTGTCTGGGAACTGTGGGCAGACATCCCGCCCTGCTTGTGCTAACAAGCAGCAGAAGCTCAGGGCCAGTAGCCCGGCCGTCTGGACGCCCAGGAGCCACTCAGAGGGAGGCTGCTCTCAGACCCCGTGGCACTCAGGCCGCTTTCAAGAAGGAGCACGTTTCCATCCTCGGAGAGCTTACCAGCTCACTGGCACCAAAACGCACCTCTGAAGTGGCCTCAGCTCAGTTTTGCCCGATGCCCTTCCCCGTCCCCATCCCACACAGAAGCCACGCACACCTTTGCTCTGTCCTTCTTCTCTGTATGCTCACAGAGCACCGAGCTCGTCGACTGCACGTCGTTGGGCAGCTCCGTTTCAGCCAGCTCGGTCCCGAAGGACTGCAGCATCTGAGCTGTCTGCTTAACCATGAGGGCGAAACTTTCGATCGCCTCGGGAAGAAGGAAAACACCCTCGCCGAGCTGTGCGCGCGTGCGTCCTCCTGCCGCCTGGAAAGCAGGCGTCCGGTGCGGAGCGCACAGCCACGCTCGGGGCGGGGGCAGGGCAGGGCCCAGCCAGCCTAACCCGCGTCAGCAGTGTGGCTCCTGAGCCCCACGACTCCTCCAGAAGCGTACCAGGCACTGTCTACGCGGGATCTCATCGGCTAGAGTCGTTCTGTGCTCCGTCTCTCCCCCACCCAGGGGCTTTCCTTTCTGTTCTGTCTCTGAGCCCAGAGAAGACCACTCCCGAACTTATTACTCATGTTGTTTCTTTAGATGACTGAGGTCCACTGAGACCATCTCCTCATTCTTGGGGAACAGAACTGAGGTTATTGGGAACATGTCTTTGGAAAAGGCAGCATCGTCATGCAAAAGCTATTCAGCCAATCAGGTCGGGATTAGGGGGACCCACAGCGCACCCCGGGTGCGGGCAGCCCAGAGGACTCACTGTGCGGTGATACAGCCACCTGCTGTGGCAGTAATCCAGGGTCCCGCCCAGGTCCTCGGTCAGCTGGGACTTGTCGATGTAACCGTGTAATTCTGGTACTGAGCTCAGCATTATGACCTGGAGGAGGAAAGAAGCCGCCCCCATAAAGAGACCGCCCGGCGGACCAGGAGCGACGCTCTCCCGACGGTCCCTAACAGCGGCCGCGGGGGCAGGAGGTGTCTGGCTTTGGACCCTGGCTTAACTCCTGGCTCTGCCACTTCTGGGCTGGTCGACCTCCTCTCTGTGCCTCAGCGTGAAATGGGCCTGTGATGACTGATCTCGGCATCGAAGGCAGGCATTTGAGCCCCGACAAGAGCTGGGCACACACTCAACACCGGACGTCCCACAGGTGCTCTTGGCTCCCAGGCGGGGGAGCGCCTGGCGGTAACCGAGCAGCACTCTGACTCGAAAGGACATCGTTTTGTCCCCTATGCCCACGGAAACTCAGTGGGCTTATTACAGGTGCCCTTCCGTGGGACCCAGGAAGCGCTTCACACAGGCTTGTCTATCTCTCTTGCCCTTTCCGGGTCACTCTGTCCATGAGTTCTGGGTAAAGACACAGCCTTTGCTTGGCAAGCCATCGGACAGACACCACAAAACAGGTCTTGAGAGGGTTAGAGAGGTTTAGACCAAACGGTATCGGACACCATCTTGTGTGTTATTGAACGCCGTATTGGTTTAGTCGCCCAGGTGGTTCTGTCCCCAGGGGACGCCTGACACCATCTGGAAATGCTTCTGATCGTCACGATGTGGGAGTGCTGCTGAATCCCTCCCCTGCAAGACACAGCCCCGCCACAGAGGATAACGCAGCCCGGACTGTCCACAGGCCGCTGAGATCCCGTGAGCCATGGCCTTCAAGCAGAAGAGGCTGAAACGTCCCAGAGGTGGGCAGTGAGCTCAGCAGAGAGGACTCTCTGCCCCTCCAGCAGAAGGCCCCATCTCATGGCCTGCATGGCCAAAGCCTGGCCACCTTCCTCATGACTTCTGCGTCTCACCTAAACCCTGCACACACTCCGAGTACGTCTAATCATGACAGAGAAGGTGTAGGGACTGTTTCTCTTAACATTCTCTGTCCAGCACGAGGTCAGCACACAGCACTGACACCGGACATGTTGATAAAATGAACACATTTTAACAACGGCATTCTTGAGAGGATGTTTTCTACACTTTTAAAAGGTTATCTAAAATGGATCAGCAGGGGCGCCTGGGTGGCTCCGTCGTTAAGCATCTGCCTTCGGCTCAGGTCATGACCCCAGGGTCCTGGGATCCAGCCCCGCGTCGGGCTCCCTGCTCCGCAGGAAGCCGGCCTCTCCCTCTCCCACTCCCCCTGCTTGTGTTCCCTCTCTCGCTCTCTCTCTCTGTCAAATAAATAAGTAAAATCTTTAAAAAAAAAATAAAATAAAATGGATCAGCAAACTGAAGAGCCGGCGATGATTTTGAGAACTCACTGATTTGGCCCAATAGTGCCATTTGCAGGGGAGACCACCGCCCTTAGCACAGGCCCCGTCTGGTTTCCTCGGACACGTCTGTGTCGAGACCTGTTGCTAACGAGGTTCACTTGCCCCTTGTAGGGCAAGGCTGTATGCCCAGGTGTCACGAGGCTGAAGGAGGCTGGGCACTGGTGGCTTTCATGCTGGGACACCACCGTAAGCGGTGTCTTGGTGGTTTTGTCCTTGCCCGTCCCCAGGAAACGGGCCATCAGAAATAAAGGCATCCAGGCCTGCAAACAGTGAGCACACTGGTGTCCCCAAGACCCCGAAGCCCACGGTTTGGGGCTGCCGAGTACAACTTGCTCTCGAGCCGGGGACGCCTCACTCACGGCCCCTGACTGCGCAGAGCACCGAGCATCCTGTACACGGAGGAACAGGAACAGACCTCACGGACAACCACCACCACGGACTCTCAGGTTGGCAAAAGCGATCTGGTAGATACTGTCGGGAGCTTACGAGGCTCCTGGGACTGGCCCTGTACGTTCTCGTCCTCTTTGCAACAGAAAACAAGTGATATCCCAGAGAACAAATACACCCGGGGCGGGGGGGTGCTGCCTGGCGGCCCCCTGCCCCATGCTGCTCCCAGAGGAGCTGGTGAGACTCGAGCAGGCTTCACGGGAAACAGGCTTCCTGGCGGCACCCGTGTAAGGGACCCTACGTGGCCTCATGTTCTCAAGGATGGGGGCTGGTGGCAGGGAGTGCCCTCTCGGGGCTGCTGGGGCCACTGAGCAGGAGATGAGGCAGGGCCACCCACCCACTGGACGCTCCCTCCGCAGGCCTGGGGACACTGGCCCCATTCCCCTGGGCCCTGGCTTGTCCCCAGCACCGGCAGAGCCTGGGTGTTCCTCACTAGGAGGCTGACGATGGCTCTCAGCTTGTGGGGGTCTCTTGTTCTTCGGCCTGACCCTCGCTCGTGAGAATGTTCTAGATTCGTGGCTCTCACACAGCTGCACCTCCACAGTGGCCCGCCCGAGGCACAGTATGGATGCGCGCTTCCCGGGAGCAGAAAGGGGGTAAAGGCCGTGTGAGAGAACCAGCAGTTCCCAACAGGTCCGCGCGGTCTGTGCGCCCGCCTGCTGGGGGGTGCGCCCGTCAAGCGTGGGCCCAGAGCGCAGTGACACCCACTCAGTCCAGCCTGCAGAATGACCAGGACGTACTTACCGGCACCTTCATCTTGAAGTCATCTCTATTGAACTTGAACGCGAGGTCGGAGAGAGTCCTTTGGAAAAACCCTGTTGGGCGCAGAACCAGGACGAGCTGGAGGTTTGCTGGGAAGGACGCCTGCAAGAGAACAGAAGGGCCGTGGGCACACGTGTATCTGGGCGCGGGGTCCTCACGCGCCTGCAGCGGATGGCGTGGTCTGGGCAGGGAGGACGTCATGCCGGAAAAGTGGCTGCTGACACCGGGCTCTAGAGACAGCCCCCTTCTTAAAAGAAAAGGAGAAGGTCACGCTGCGGGGCAAGCACGTGATGTGAGTGATCAACTGTAAAATCAAAAGCTTATGACACTTGTTTCAGGCTGCATGGCGTCCCCCCAAATTCACATGTCAAGTCCAAACCCCAGTGCCTCAGGATGTGATTTGGAGACACGGTCTTTACAGATTCGACCGAGTTTATGTGGGGTCATTACCGCGGCCCTGAAGACGATCTGCCTGGTCCTTACGGAAGGGAGACTCTTGGGCATGGACACCCAGGGAGACGCCGCGTGTGAAGACAGGGGACACGTCTACCAGCCAAGGAGCGCCAGAAACCTCCAGGAGTGGGGGAAGGGACATTTTCTGCCTCGCGGCCCCAGGACCAACCTCGGACCTCCAGCTCCAGACCGTGGGGCAGTGGCTCAGGCATTTCCAGCCCCCCACTCTGTGGGCGCATTGGGAGGACAGCCCCAGGGAACCAAGACACTTGTCAAATAAAAACAGCCATACAGACACATAGACGTATTCCTAAAACAAAGATAGAAGAAAGCTCACACCCCAGCGTACGTGCCTTTAGATACAGTTACATGAATATATTCGGCTACCAGCTCTGCTTACAAGGGTGCGTGACCTCGGGCAACTTACTCACCTCCCTGTGCCTCTGTTTCCCCATTTGTAACACAGAGACAAAAAGTGCCTTCCCAACGCACACTCGTAATGCACACGCAGTGGTGCCGTCCTTGCACGAACCCTCAAAAACGAGGCGTGACAGATAGTCAGTAAAAGCCTATTCTAGGCGCCGATTATTTCTACACGCTGATTTCTGGGCAGACCCCATTACTAAAAGAAGACATGCTGAAGGAACTGAGTTTGATTTCTGGGTAACCGGGCACAACGCAGCTGAAACATGATATATAGCCAAGACCGGCACAGTCCGAAACAGACAAAGCAGCACGGAGTGGGGCGGGAGACACCGGCTTGCCCAGGGAGCCTGCGGGGAAGCCGTGCCCACCACGCTCTCCACAGCTCACACACCCGTGCGTCTCTGCGTCTTCACCGTCCACCCGCCGATGGACACTCCGGCTGCGGCCACACCCCGGGGCCCCCCACATCCACCCTGCCCTCAGCAGGACTGGTGCACGGGAGCCCCAGGCTCCTGGCCTTCTCCCCTGGCCCTGCCCCGTCCTGGCAGGCGTCCTCGGGAACAGAGACACACCCGCCAGTCTGAGGCCCTGGCAGCAGGACCTCGACAGCATGTGTGCGCCGGGCCACTTCCTTCCCGGGAAGCAGTCACTGCCTGGGCGGCCCCCGCCCTGCGTGTGCACCGCTACTAAGCAGGTGCCGCCCCTGGACAGCCCTCAGCCCTGGGGCCCCCTCGAGTGTCTGGTCCGGTGGGTCTCACGGGCTAGAGCTCCTGGGAGAAGTTGGTGCCGTAGGAGCGGGGGCCCCGGGACAGCTCTGCTCCTGACCCACAGGCCTCAGGGTCACCCAGGTCAGAATAGCTGCCGGTGGGGTCCTGGCCTCACCCCCAAGGCCCCAAGGCTGGATCTGCCCTGAGAAAGCCCCCCGGGGCCTCTGAGGCCAGGCCTGATGTCCACGTGACAGCAAGTCCCTGGAACAGAAGAAAAGCCAGGAAAAGCTGGACTCGTGGGCACTGGGGGGCCCCAGGCCGGCGCCTCACTGGTGCCAATGACCAGTCAGTGCTCGGCCACACCCCGGGCTCTCCTGCCTGTGCCTTCCTCTGGGGCCCCACAGCCAGTCCCAAAGCCTGTGCACTGTCCTTCCAGCTCCTGCCCCGGACTCCTTCCCCGAGCAAGCTCTGCTCCCCTGCCCCCCGACTGCTGCCCTGCGCCTATTCCCCACGAAGTGCCACTGGGACCCCTGTGGGGTGTCAGCTGCATCACGACCCCGTCCTGAGCAAACCTTCCAGAGACTTCCCCACCCTGCAAACAAACCAGAGTCCAGAGCCCAGCCTGCAGCGGCCTCGCTGACCTCCGCCCCGCCCCGCACCCAGCGCCCCCGCTCCCGAGGGCCTCACTGCACAAGGACCCCTACCTGCCCCCTGCCTCTCTTCAGGTTTGCCCCCCAAACACGTGGTTCCCATCCCTGCATCTCTGCCGCACGTGCCTCTGACCCAAGGCCACCGATGGCCGGTGACCATCCTGGCCGCTGCTCATGGGCCACCACGTGCTCCCCACCATGTCTGTGGATGCCCCTGTGCTGTCTCGGGGTTTGAAGCTCCACCACTTCCTGGTGACTCGGGGCTGCGTCCCCGGCCCTGTGCCCTGGGCTTCTGTGGGAGGGCCCCCCACACCTGCTGGGCCACAGCCGGGCCTGGGGCACCCCGAGGGTGCCCGTGTGCCAGCAAACCACACCAGGCGCCCAGGGCGAGGCCGGCAGGGGGCGGGACTGGAGCAGCCCCCCCGAGCAGGGTGCTCATCCTCGCCCCCAGCCACACGGGGGCGCCCTCGTGGTTTGGCTCCTTTGAGCAGAAAGGAAACAGGAGAGAAGCCGCGCTGAAGGTGGGAGGCGCCGCAGGCAGGTTCCGGGCGGGGTCCAGCCCAGCTGTCCGCGAGCCGGCTGCACCGCCGTCCCGGCACCTGGGAAGCTGGCCACCGCTAGTTACGGAAAGCTCCCTCTGGAGGTGACAGTGAGTCACCCCTCCTAAATTCCAGCTTTCTCCCCGTCATGTGTTCCTCTTGGCTGCTGTGACGTGAGGACAAGAGCCGGGACTCAGAAGACGGCACTGCGCCCGTCCCCTGAGATTTCACGTGGATTAACTCTGCAGGCCGTGGGGTCACAGCTGCATCAGCTGACGGAGGCGGGAAACACCCTGCCCCCTGCCTCTCTCTGCTCTGGTCTTTCCGATTCCCTAACTTCCCGAATCTTCCACGAACGAGAGTAGCCGTAAGACCCTGGCTGCGTGACAAGGCGTTAATGATCTACAAAAACACACCTTTTGAACACAAAGAACAGTAACTAAACTTTCTCTGGGTTGGAATCAACTGTATGTGCTAAGAGCTGGGAAAATACCGTTAACGTTTTACTGTACGAACAGGGAACTGGAAGAAGGATTTGGGATGAGGGCTGCAAAATTCCTTCATGATCACAGAAGGCTTGCAACAGGTTTCGTAAGGTCAAGTGATATTGTTTACTTTCCAACTTAGGAATGCACACAGTGTGATGGCCACACAAAGGTCATCTGGAGACAGAAAGAGAGTGAAGTGGTTTCTGGATAAACATCCTAGAGGCTCCTGTGCATCCAGTGTCACCTCCACCAGGAGTCCCTCCTGGTGCTCACACTGCTCCTGTCTTCAGTCCTGTAGGACTGCCCGGCGCTGCCTCAGGCACCCCTGCGTGTTTGCAGCTCACAACCCACGTCACAGCGTCTGTCAGCTGTCTGCACCCCACCTGGCTGCACACTTCTTGCTTACTCCCCGCTTACGTCTCCCATGCCCCAGGGCCTGCACAGGACCAGGCACATAACAGAGTCTCAATAAACGTGCTAAATGCAGATTTTTGGGCGTTCATGAGATCAGTAAATTCATGTAATAAAAAGAATTGGAGTTAAAGAGAATTTTTGACGAGTATGTGGGGAAAATGTTAATTTCTGGGGTTTCCAAGCCAGTACCGGGGAACCCCAAAACTTATGGGAAAAAAGAGATTCTAAAACCTTATTGTTTTTATTGTGTACAAATTTGTGCAAACATTAAAACTCAAACACCGACACTTCAGTTTTGATTTTCACAAAACAACATTTTAAAGATGAGCCAGCACACTTTGGAATCCACCTGGTCATGAAGTCAGTGACACAGGAAACCAGGATGGCCGTTGGCGGGAGGAGGGCTCTGCACCCCTGGCGCCCACAGGTCTGTCCCGGGCCATGCGGCTCAACGGCAGGGGGCACTTGCAGACCACTTCAGTTCTTAAAAATAATGTATCTCTTTCTTAAAAAACTATCCTGTATTTGGGGACGCTCCTGTGTCTAACCAGGAGTGACCGATGGCCTCAAGAGACATGCAGGGAGAACCTATCTCGCCCGGGGCCTGGGCTGGGTGCCTGCCACGGCAAAAGATGGAACAGACTTCCAGGAACGCGAGATGTGCAGGCAGGAGCGGCGGTGCCTTCCAGAGCGGGAGGCCGCGCGGAGCACCGCGCTGTGGGGCGACGGGGAGGCGGGGAGGCCGAGGGAGCAGGAGCAGAGGGCCCCGAGCAGGGGATATCCCTGCGGTGCTGGGACGAGGGCCCTCCTGGGACAGGCGTGCGTGCAGACGAGGAGACGCCCGTGACCGCCACATGATGACATGCCTGAGCATGTGTTAGCTCAGGGCTAGAGAAACGTAGACGACCTGGAGAGATTACTTAAATTTGAAAAACGTTGTTATTATAACAGTGTTACCTTCTGAAACAATGACTGGGAACGTCTTGGTACTGAACCCAGGACTAATGTACTGATTTAAGAAATATTTTTCTTTTTTTTTTAAAGATTTTATTTATTTATTTGAGAGAGAGAATGAGGGGGAGAGAGAGCTCGAGTGGGGGGAGGGGCAGAGGGAGAAGCAGACCCCCCGCCGAGCAGGGAGCCCGATGCGGGACTCGATCCCGGGACTCCAGGATCACGACCTGAGCCGAAGGCAGTCGCCCAACCAACTGAGCCACCCAGGCGCCCAAGAAATATTTTTCTTAAGTCTACTGTGCATCTGACCCAGTGGTTCTTACAATTTAATTCTTAATTTAGCCTGCCATGTGATGTCACATGCAAACTGATTTTAAAATTTAAAACAATGAAATGGACACATTGGCTGTTAACTGCTGATGGCATATCAAAGTTCTTTGTAAGCTTCACAGGATTTTAAAACAAAAGCTAATTTTATAACAAGTCTACTTCTTTTGAAACATTTCAAAGTGTTTTGTTTCAGATAAATGATGGCACAGGAAGTGTGTGGGCGTGGGGATGAAGAAGGGACACGCGTGTGGGGGGTGGGGACGCAGAGCCGGACACGCGTGTGGGGGGTGGGGACGCAGAGCCGGACACGCGTGTGGGGGGTGGGGATGCGGAGTGGGAGACGTGAGTGGGGGGTTGGGGTGAGGAGCGGGACACGCGTGTGGGGGGTGGGGGCGAGGAGCGGGAGACGCACTGGGTGGTGCAGGGAGATATTTTTTCAGAAAGACAAAGGTGGGACCCATCAGCCCAGGGCCAGGTTTGCACCGAACCGATGCAGGTGTAAGACCGCAGACACCAAGCCTCTGATTGCTGTTAGGACGGATGGTGAGGTGGTCTGCGGGGGAGGAAGCGCTTCTTCCGTTCCACCCAGAGCCGTAGCACAGCCGCCTCTCAGGTCAGCAACCAAAGATGGTTTGAACGCAAGACCCAGAGCAAGAGGTTAGGAGGATTTTACTCCATCGGGGGTTAGGTGTTTAAGACATGCTTGGGAGCAGGAGAGCTGTCCCGGCCAGTGAGCCCGGCCACAGTTGCTCCGGGTCCCCCTGCTGCCGTGAGTGAGCGTGGGTGACGTGCTCCACATGGAGCTCGTGGGCAGGGCAGAAGCTGCTGACTTAACTCTTCCCTCCCGAATTATCACTGCAGGCTAAAAACAGCCACACAGGATCCGCAGAGCAGCTGCCCTTCTGCGCATGAAAGGCGGCCTCGGGGGTCCCTGGCTGCGGGCACGGGTACCAAGGAAGGTCGAGGTGTCTGGGTTGTTGGAGAACTAAAGGGTAAACAGCCCTTCTGGAAAGGAAAAAGTCAATTAGGAAAAGCTGTTCAATATAATTTCAAACTTGTAGCCTGAAGATTCTCTGTATGACATTGGACGTCCTGTTAATTCAGGACCTTGTGCTGCACTTAAGAACGAACACACGTTCGATCCTCAGCATTGCCCATACTCAGTGGTCAGAACAAGCCGGCTGGTGGGACTGTTTTTAAATGATAACAAGCCGCTAAGAGTGAACCCATTGAGAACACACACATGCACACACATGCACACACTCCAGTCGCTCCAGCAGCCCAGGGGGATGTGGGCTCCCACGTGGCCTCTGGCCCTGCCTCAGGCCACGGGGGCTGGTGCACCGTGCAGCTCGGGCCAGCAGAACACAAGCTGCCCCCAGGCAGACGGGTGGCTCGGACAGAAACAGTGCCGTCACCTGGCCCAGGGGACGAGCAGAGGCAGGTGTCACAGAGCCCGGGCACCAACACTTACTGCTATTCGCAGGATTGATGCCTTCACCGAGGTCCATTTGTCCTGCCTTCGGTCTATGACCAGGATGAATCCAATGCCAGCATCTTGTAAGCTGAAACGGGGAGAGAGATCTGCAGTTAGCATGTGCAGCAGGCTCACGGGCTTTCGTTTAAGCTCTGAGAAAGCCTTACACTCCTATAATCCTGGGGCGGCTTCCGCCCTGCACGGTGAAACGCATGCCAAATAAGCATCTGAGCCGACTGCAGCATTTCCATGAGCCTTGCCCGGGCAATTTCCAGAATGTGCTCTTATCTAAAGATGGACAGATAACCTCCTGTGTGCTGCTCACACTCCCAGCCCCACACCAGCCATCTCATGGCGCAAAGACCCTGGCAGACCCCCTTCCCGGAGCTCAGTCACCAATCATGGTGCTTTCTGGGTTGACCAGCTGGCTAAACCCTCCAGAACAAGTTTTATGATCCATACGTTACATCAGTCCTGGCATCTGAGGTCCCCCTGTGTGTCCATGTTATAAAATCGCTCTTGATGGCATTGCTACACTTTTGGGAGAAAATCCGCGAGGCGTCCACAGGCTCACAGCATCTGTTGGAAACGGGAGACAAGAAACGGCTGCTTGCAACAGCAACATCTGTGGTCAAGAGAATGCCGAGTCGCTGTGGAATAACAACTCCGTCCTGCCTCAGCCCAGGGCACGGGCCTGGGTCACAGTGGAGAGTGGGGAGGTCCGCTTCCGTCGGGGAACTCCGCATCCAAGCCAGTTGTGCAGCGCCAGCCGCTGCCGCTGCCAGCCAGTCCCTGCGGAGGGAAGAAGGGCACGCCCAAGGCACCGACTTGAATTGCTAATTTCCAGATCTGGGAACAAAGTGAGGAAGCCACTCTGGGTTTAAATGAAAATCAGAATTACACGGAGCAAGTGTAAATGATGCAGTCCGGAAATGCTCTGTGGGCTGCACTCATTACATAACAAAGCCAGGGCTGTCCACGTGTCCTTCTGCCTCAGGTTTCAGGGGGCGATGGCTGGGGCGCTGCTGGCTCTTGGTGCTCCCCCTGTTCCAGCTGTTTACACCAGTCGGGTTCAGTCAGGGCAAAGGCCTTCCAGATGAACGCACACACAGGCATCAGCTTTCATCCGGAGTAGGCTTTCTGCATGGACACACAGCGAGAAGCCACCATCCCGCTTCACAGCCGTGTGGCCCCACAGAGGACTGTCTTCGGAGCTGCTTTAGCTCTTTGGCACTGAAGGTCTGTTTGTCACTTGAGCTTCAGTGCTGGGAGTGGGGACTCCACGGCAGCCACGCTCCCCACAACCTGCCTGACAACCTTCCTGGGTCGGGCTGGGCGGGCCAGCGAGGAAGCTGCGAAGCGAGGGAAACCCTGGTTCCCGGGCTCTGTGCTGGGCCGGCTGCAGGAGTTCAGAGAGCTCCGGACCCCTGCAGGGGTGCGCTCCAACCTGGGCGGGCCGTGG